TTCTTCATAACTCATTCTATGAAGGCAGTATCACAATAACACCAAAGCTAGGAAAAAACACAACAACAAAAAACTTCAGACCAATATTCCTGATGAACATCATTGAAAAAATCCTCAACAAAACACTAGCAAACCGAATTCAACAGCACATTAAAAAAAATAATATCCCACCACAATTAAGTAGTTTTTATACCAGAAATGCAAGAATGGTTAAAAATACAAAAGTCAATAAATGTGATCTATCATACAAACAGAATTAAAAATAAACATTACATGATCATTTCAATAGAGGCAGAAGAAACATTTGATAAAAACCAGCATCACTTCATGATAAAAACTCTTAGTAAAATAGCCATAGAAGGAACATTCATCAAAATAATAACAGCCATATATGACAAACCCATAGCCAATGTTATCCTGATCAGAGAAAAGTTGAATGCATTGATCTTTAGAACTGGAACAAGGCAAGGATGCCCACTTTCACCACTTTTATTTAGCATAGTACTGAAAATCCTAGCCAAAGTAATCAGGCAAGAGAAAAAAATAAAACATGTCCAAATTGGAAAAGAAGAAATCAAACTCTGTGTCTTGATGACATGATCTATATCTAGAGAATCCTATAGATTCCTCCAAAGACTCCTGGACTTGATAAATGAACTCAGTAAAGTTTCAAAATACAAAATCAACACACACAAATCAGTTGCATTGCTCTACACCAATAGTGACAGACTGAGAATCAAATCAAGAATTTAATTCCATTCACAACATCAGCCCCAAATTTAAAATACCTAGGAATATATTTAACAAGGAGGTAAATGATCTCTACAAGGAGTATTATAAAATACTGATAAAAAAAAAAAAAAAACTGTAGAGGACACAAACAAATGGGAAAACATTCCATGCTCATAAATGGGAAGAATCAACATTGTTAAAATGACTATATTACCCAAAGTAATCTTCAGATTCAATGCAATTGCTGCCAATCTACAAATGTCATTTGTCACAGAATTAGGAAAAACAATCTTAAAATTCGCATGGAAGCAAAAAAGAGCCAGAATAGCCAAAGCAATCCTAAGCAAAAAGAATAAAGCTGGAGGCATCACGTTACCTGACTTGAAATTATACTACAAGGCCAAACCAGCATGGTACTAGTAGAAGGACAGACACAATGGACCAGAATAGAATCCAGAGACAAACTCAAATAACTACAACCAACTGACCTTTGACAAAACAGACAGAGACATATATTGAGGAAAGCACACACTGTTCAACAAATGGAGCTGGGAAAATTGGATAGCTACTTCTAGAAAAATGAAACTTTATCCTTATCTCTTGCTACATACCAAAATTAATCAAGATGAATTAAAGACTTCAATGTAAGACCTGAAATCATAAAAATCCCGGAAGAAAACCCAGGATAAACTGTTGTGGACATTGGCCTAGGCAAAAAATTTATGGCTAAAACCCCAAAAGCAAATGCAACAGAAACAAAAATAAGTAGGTAGGACTTAATTAAACTAAAAAGCTTCTGAACAGCAAGAGAAATAATCAACAGAGTAAACAAGCAACCAACAGATTGGGAGAAAACATTAATAAACTATACAGCTGATGAAGGACTAATATCCAGAATCTATAGAGAACTCAAACAAATCAGCAAGAGAAAAGCTAATCACTCCACTAAAAAGTAGGCAAATGGCACGAACAAACATCTCACAAAAGAAGACATACAAATGGCCAATAAATACATGAAAAAAATGCTCAACACCACGAATCATCAGGGAAATGCAAATTAAAACCATAATGAGATACCACTGTACACCAGTCAGAATGGCCATTACTAAAAAGTTAAAAAACAATAGATGCTAGTGCACATGTGATGAAAAGGGAGAGCTTATACACTGTTGGTGGGAGTGCAAATTAGTAGAATTTCTATGGAAATTGGTGTGGAGATTTCTCAAGGAACAAAAAGTAGATCTACCATTCAATCCAGCAATCTCCTTACTAAGTATCTACCCAAAGGAACAGAGGTGGTTATACAAAAAGACACCTTCTCTTGGATATTTATCATAGTAAAGTTCACAATTGCAAAGATGTAGAATCAATCTAAATTTTAATCAACTGATCAATGGATAATGAAAGTGTGAGATACACACACACACACACACACACACACACACACCATGGAATATTATTTAGCCATAAAAAAGATGAAATAATATATTTTGCACAACTTAGATGGAGTTGTATAACATCATCCTAAGTGAACTAACATGGCAATAGAAAATCAGTTGCCACATGTTCTCACTTATAAGTGAGAGCTAACCTAAGGATGAGCAAAAATATATAAAATGGCATAGTGGACAGTGGAAACTCAGAAGGGGGAGGGTGGGAAAGGCTGGAGGGATGAAAATCCACTTATCAGGTACAATATGCACAGGTGGGGGCGGTTGGTCTACTTAAAGTCCAGACTTCTTTGCCACTGTACAATGCCTCCATGTAACCAAAACTATTTGCACCCCCTAAAGTTACTGAAATTAAAAAGAAGAAAAAACAATACTGTCTACTAGTTTAAGCAAAACACAGAAAAAGTGACTAAGTATTTCATGAAAGAATACATCCAAGTAGCCAATAAATATATAAAAAATTGTTACACCTTATTACATGTTGGAGAACACAGATTAAAGTCATAGAGAAGCATCACTTCACAAGCACAAAAATGACCAAAAATAAAATAACTAAATATATCAGCTTTTTACAAAGTTGTAGAGCACCCAGAAATGATACACATTGCTGATGTGAGTGTAAATCACTATCACTTAGGAAACCTGGCATTAACTACTAGAGCTAGATGTTTATTTTTCCTATGACCTACCAACACCACTCCCAGATAGAGAGCCAAGATAAATTAGTGCACCACGTCTATCAAAAGACAAGTATAGAAATGATTGTGAGTTCTTTTCCTTAATGGCCCAAAATTGGAAGCCACCTAAGTTACTATTAAAAATAGAATGAGCGGCTTGGGGGCTCGGCCTGTAATCCCAGCACTTTGGGAAACCCAGGTGAGTGGATTGCCTGAGTCCACGAGTTCAAGACCAGCCCTGACAACCTGGCAAGATCTCATCTCTACGATAAATAAAAAATTAGCTGGGTGTAGTAGTGCACACCTGTAGTTCTGGCTACTTGGAAGGTTAGGGCACAAGGATCGCCAGAGCCCAGTAGGTCGATGCTGGGGTGGCCATGAGTGTGCCATTGCATTCCAGCCTGGGTGATGGAGTAAGATTGCAGCTCAAAAAGAAAAGAAAAGAAAAATACATTCTAAGAATGGCATTTAATGACAGGAGATCTGAAATTAAATAAAGACAATTTAAAAAAACAATAGAATGATTCAACTGGGGAATATTAATATAATGGGACTCTATATAGCAGTGAAAGGAAGAAAATACTGCTACATGTAACAACATGAATGAATCTCACAGGCTTAATTTTGAGTTAAAAAAAAACAAGATGTTAAAGGGTACATACAGTATGATTGCATCTATATGAAGTTTATAAACAACAGAATTAATATATATTAGTGGATGTCAGAATAGTATTTACCTTTCATAATATCAATTAGTAGGAGTTTTAAAGAGGCTTCTAAGGTACTGAAAATGTCCCATATCTTGATCTTGAAGGTGGATACATGCGTACGCATGTATGTGAGAATTCATTAATCTAGTCACTCGAGATTTATGCTTTTTACGTAGTTTAATGTCTCAAAAATAAATATATAGACTGAGTGTAGTTGCTCAAGCCTGTAATCCCAGCACTTTGGGAGGCCAAGGCGAGAGAATTGCCTGAGCCCAGGGGTTCGAGACCAGCCTGGGCAACTTGGTGAGACCTCATCTCTACAATAAATAAAAAAATCAACTGGGTGTGGTAGCGCACACCTGTAGTTTCCAGCTACTTGGAAGGCTGAGGTGAAAGGATCACCTGAGCCCAGCAGGTTGAGGCTGCGGTGGTCATGAGTGTGACTCTCACTCAAAGAAAGAAAGAAAGAAAGAAAGAAAGAAAGAAAGAAAGAAAGAAAGAAAGAAAGAAAGAAAAATATAGTTCAGAGAGAAAGCTGCAATATAGATCCTTTTAATCCCTGTGACTAGCTGAAAAGCTTGGAATTAGTCTGTGGTGATATAATTAGGGGAACCCTCTACCCAAAAATAAAGGACAGTTCAACAGAGCATAGGTGTTTATAGTAAATGGAGAAATAAAGCCATTTTTACTTTTATACCTTAGGAAGTTAGCCCTATAAAAATATTATAGCTTAGCTAATCAAATTAGATAATTAATGTAAGATGCAAAATGTAAGGTCTGGCTCACAGTAAATATTAATAAATATATTATTATGGCTGGGCATAATTATGGCTCTCGCCTATAATCCCAACACATTGGGAGGCTGAGGTGAGAGGATTGCCTGAGCTCACGTGTTTGTTACCAGCCTGGGCAATTTGATGAGACCTCACCTCATTTCTACAATAAATCAAAAAATTAACCGGGTGTAGTGGCATGTGCCTGTAGTTCCAGCTACTTGGAAGGCTGAGGCAGAAGAATCGCCTGAGCCCAGCTGGTCAAGGCTGCAGTGGCCGTGAGAGTGTCACTGCACTTCAGCTGGGCCTCAGAGTGAGACCCCAACTCAAAAAAAAAAAAAGAAAAAAAATATATATATAATTAGTACTACCATTACTGCTACTGCTAACTACTACTACTACTATACTACTACTGTTGCTTTGTTGTTGTGGTGGTTAGTGATAATTTTTAGTAATTGGAACTGAACTGGAAGCTCTCATTGCCCCATTGTCAGCTTCTTCTCACTTCTGACTTCCACATCCCGCCATTGAATCCACCTTCCACAAAGTTATAACTTAATATTGAGCATGGGGAAATTGTTGTAATTTATCTTTCCAAGCAGCTTGTGGGCTGGTGGGTTGAGTATAGGGAAAGGAGGACCTGAGAGGTATGTTCCTTCAGATAGGGAACTCGCAGACTGCCAAATAGGAGGAGGAGCAGGAGATGTCATTCCACCTGCCACTTGTTAGGAGTGTTACACAATCTTCTGCAGAGCCAGTATCGTTGGGCTCACCGTCGTTCCAGTTTTGATAGGTCAGACTTCTTCCTGTCAGATCCACAAACAGGCCTTCTTTGTTTTTATCTGTGATGCCCAGGAAGGCCTCTTCCTTGACCACTTGCTGGATGGCCATGTTTTCTTCAGCATTCCTGGGGGTGGCTACAGAGGCCTGGAATTGGGCACACAGAGCCTTTACTCCATCAAAGGTCATCTTTTCACCATTGGTCAAGAATAACTTCTTCCCAACTTGTTTTCCCAGAGAGAAGATCAGCCCTAAAATGTGAAAAAGTGGTTGTCAATGACTTGTCTTTAAGCCCAGTTCTTAGTATTTCTCAAGATAAAGCCTTCTAGAGTAGAGCTGCGAGATAAAATACAGTATGTCCAGTTTAATTTGAATTTCAGATAAACAATGGAGTGTTTTAAATTCCTATACAATTTTTGGAGCACACTTTTACATGTTCTAGTATTCTTTTGTGTGTGTGTGTGTTGGAGTCTCACTCTTGTCACCAGACTGTAGTGCAGTGGCCGCTCCCGGCCACTGCAGCCTCAAACTGCTGGGGTCCGGCGATCCTTCTGCCTCAGCCTTCCAAGTAGCTGGAACTACAGGCACGTGCTACCATGCCTGGCTAATTTTTTTTTTTTATTTATTGTAGAGATGAGGTCTCGCCAAGTTGCCCAGTGGGTCTTGAACCCGCGGGCTCAGGGAATCCACTCACCTCAGCCTCCCAAAGCACAGGATTACAGGCTGAGCCACTGAACCTGGCTTGTTCTAGTATTCTGATGCAAAAAACAAACAAACAAACAAACAAAAAAACCAAAGGCCTTTGTTTTAGTCTGTCTCTTCACATTTGGGTTGCCATGGTTAACATACAAAAAGATAAGATACCAGTTAAATTTGAATTTCATGTAAAAATTTTTTTTAACAATAAATATCCTTTCAGATCAGAATTCGAGAACACATATAATTTGAAATTTTGAATTCTACTCCACGATTACCTTGAGACTAAACAAAAAATATCTGAGAATATTTGCTCTAGACTAGAAGGAACAGATTAGGCCCCACTGGCAGGTCTCAACACCAGCATAACAAAGGGGCATCTGGGCATCAGTGAGTAAAGATCAAAGGGCACAAGATCAGGGTCTCAGGAGTCAAACTGCAATTTATAAATTAGCTCTGCCTCTTATTAGCTCTGTGCATTTGAGCAAGTCTTTTTAACTTTCCTTTGTTTTCATTTCTACCAAAATATCATGAGGATTTCATGAGATCACAATCCGAGAAATGCCTATCCAGGCACTGGAGAAACTATATGCATTCAATGAATGTTTGTTGCCTTCTACCTTTTCCAAACTTCAAGCTGCTTGGAGAGTGAGAAAGAAAGCTTACACTTTTTGACACTATCCAATTCTGATTGCAGGAATTTTCCTTCTGAATCAGTCAGGCAACTATCACATTCTGGAAATTAAAACAAAACAAGGAGCATGGTTAAGAATGGGATTGAATAATTGTATATGTAAGAAGTGGGGTATTTTTTTCAAATTGAAAACAAAGTGTATTTCATGTTAGTATTTATACTTTGAAGGGAAATTCGAAATACTAAGAAGTAAAGATAAAGAAAAAATATCTCTGTTTCCACACAGCCCCAAACACTATTCTTCATGTATTTACTGTATCCAAAGACACTTTTTGCACATATACATATCACATGCACACACCTATACTCCATGATTGCCTAGCAATCCATAGGCCACATTTTTCACTAATTATTTTTTTCTGACTGAATTGTTCTACTAAAATTGTTCTTCTAAAAAGAAATCCTTGAGATATTATTGTATTATGGGCTGGTGAGTATTGACTAAGAAGATTGCAGGGTTTTGTCTTTGGAGAGGTTATCTTTTATGTTGCCTTCTTGTTTTTGTTTCTGTTTTCCCTGAGTTTGTTCTGTTAGGAAACCAAGTTTTTTGTGAGTTGTCCATTATTCAAGTGGGGAGGGCATGAGACCAGCTACGTGTAGTAGATGGCAAAAAATGGCCTCAGATGGGTACAGCTCCTCTCATTAGGAAATGGAGTCTGTCTCTCCACTCTTTGAATCTGGGTTGAACTTGTGACTTGTTCTGACCAATATAATGCAGCAGAAATGGTATTATATGTGCTCTGAGACTTCAGGAGGCCGAAAGTGTCTGTTATTTCTACTCTTGGGAATCCTGTAATCACTGCTGTGTGAATAAACCCTAGTTAGCCTGTTGGGTGATGAGACTCAATTACCCCCATCACTCCAGCTAACATTCAAACAACAGCCAGACACGTGAAACCGTTGGCCATGAGTTGAACACAGACACATTAGTGAGCCCAGCTGAAACCAGCAGAGAAATCACTTGGTTGACCTACAGAATTGTAACTTAAATAAATAACTAAGTTTTAAAAAACTATGTTTTGGATTGGTTTCTTATGAAGTAAAATATATCTGACATACTGCAGTTACATGCTTTTGTGAAAATAGTCATAGGAAGCTCTCACTTAGATAGACTATCTATGTTTCCTCTCTGGAACGAGGGTCTCACATTCGACTGTTTCAGCTGAAAAAGGACACAGGCTCAGCTCCTGCAGGGGTTGCCTAATGGGGGAATTGACCTGAAAGGTTTGCAAGTTTGTACTCAGATACTAAGTGACTCTAAGAACAAAGAAAGAACTGAAGGTACTGGGTCAAGAAGCAAATTTGGGTATTTTCCTATGAAGGAGCAGAGGAGAAGTACCACCCACCAGGTACTCAAGGTCTCAGAAACCTGTGTGTGCTCAACTCAGCCTTTACTGGGGTAATCTCCTTACTTGAGCTCTCTCCACGTTCTCCTTTTTGGCCCACTGGTCCCGGTGACCCAGGGGGACCTGGGTTTCCTGCAGGTCCCAACTTTCCAGGAGGGCCCTGCAAGCCTCTGAGCCCTTGGCCTGTTAGGAGACAAAGGAAACATGACTCAGTGTCTGTTCTCTTGCACTCTTTCTTCAAGAATCCAATGCCCAATCCCTTCCCAGATGAGAGGAGACCTTAATCCAAGGCCAACCTGTCTGAAAAAAATTTTTTGGAGTCACTGTTTATGATGGCCCAAAGAAGAAAAATTCCTCCTTTGTCCCATCGACTGTGGGCCACTACCCTGGCAGGCAAGACAACTACTTGTCAAAAACTGCTATGAGATAGTCTAAGATGCCAGAGAATCAGAGCTGAATCTCTATTTTGAGTTATAAAATGTAGTTGAGAAAGATGTAATCAACCTAAATAGGACATTACTCATATCTTCAGACAGTTTCCTTAGGAAGGTAAAGAACTGCAGAGACAGAAAAGCCCAATGTATACCTGGTTCTCCCTTTTCTCCCTTGATGCCATCACGTCCATCTCTGCCTGGCAAGCCGATGATGCCGGGAGAACTACAGGCAATCACAGGACAGGTCTTTTGGACGTCCTCACAGGTCACCATTTCTGAGTAGGTTGCTGCTATCACACTCAGGAGAAGGAGACGGAGCAATGGAGTCAGGGACATGGTACTCACCTTGGTGTGGGAAGAGTCAAGGCAGATGTTCTTATCTTGTTAAATTAATCGACCATGTTTACCCAACATGCCCTCTGTCCTATAACCTGGGTCCAGGCTATATGAGAAGAGATGACCCATTTCTGACCTCCAGACTGGGGATTTGGAAAAGTAAATACTCCTTGTAACATTGTGCAATTAGTACTTCACCAAAGGTAGGCAAAATTGCATGCAATGATGGTTCTGGGGAAAAGGTCACCTATGTCTGCCCGGGCCTATGGCATTGCTGCTGGAAGGCTGTGAGTATGCTTCCTGTGGCAGTGAGAATAAATGTGACCAATATGGCCCGTTCACCTAGGCCTGTCAACTTAGGGAATAGAAATGAATGAAGACCCAGGTGTCTGTGGGAGCTCCCTCTTTCCCCCCACATCCCTTTTGGACTCATATGCCATTTGAATCCCATCTTTATATCTGAGTAGCTGATTCCCCTCCAGGACCAGTTAACTATCATTTACTCAACAGCAGGCCTTAAGCTGCAAGTTAATGATCCAAAGAGGAAGTTTTCAGCCCAGTTCAGAATTAACGTGCTTGCTCCCTCTTGGTGTCTCATGTCCCACAACAAGACAGGATTGTCAGGGCAAGAATTTTCTCTGAAGATTTTCCACTACTTTGACCCTGGCAGGGTGCTAGATCCTCTCTACTTCCTGGTAGGAATTCCCTGTATTCTGAGTCAAAAGCACTGGCAATTAGACAACTTGCCTTGACTCTCCCTTCCATCTCTCATTCTTAACATTTTGTCTATCCATCAAAGCCTTCTTCCAACTATTACTCCCTCAGAAACCTCAGCAGCCTAAGCCCATGGGTCAAATCCTTCAAGGTTCCCTTGAAAAACAAAGGCAATCTCCACTGTATTATAAATGGTCAGGTAATGAAGACAAGTACAGGTGCCCTAGCACAAACAGAGAAAGAGACACCCTCAACATGATTTCTGCCTGTCATCTCCCCTTCCCCCACCCATAAAAAGCCTCCTCCAGGCCTCTAGGGTCAAGTTAGGTCCCAGACCTTTGATCCCAAAACACAGATTTATTCATGAGAAATGACTTTCTGGGGCTTCTGCAGAGCAGGGATTCAGCAAAATGAATCTGACCCTCTAGCCTGAGGCTCTGGCAGATGTCTCCGAATGAGGCAGGAGGCTGGACTCAGCCAAGTAGGAAGGTCCAGTCAGCCTTTGGGAATAGCCCAGGCCTGGCCTTCAACCCCAAATTAATAGACAACTCTTCTTAGGGCTGCATGAAACTTTTCTTAAGTGCTTCCATCACAGTGCCAGGCAGCAGCATGTTTCTTCCTTCAATTGCCATCTACTGTGACAATTCTCATGGCTGAGCTACCAAAAGCAGATTTACCTAACTAATCGTGTCAAGATCTTATTTTCAACATGGAAGCATACAGATCTGTGAATGCACACACACACTTGTGCACACCAACTATACACACAGACATGTGTATGTGCACACACACTTGTTCATGAAAGCACAGCAGGCTTCTTGCTGCGTTTAATACACCAGACCCCTCCTGCTTCAGGCTCCGCACTTGATGTTTGCCTGCCTTGACATTCCCTCCAGAGCACTGCTGCTGTCCCTTTCTCTTCCTCTTCTTCTTTTTTTTTTTTTTTTGTTTGAGTTGGAGTCTCACTCTGTCGCCCAGTCTGGAGTGTGGTGGCACACTCACGGCCACCCCAACGTTTACCTGCTGGGCTCTGGCGATCCTTCCGCCTCAGCCTTCCAAGTAGCTGGAACTACAGGCATGCACTAGCATGCATGGCTAATTTCTGATGTAGAGATGAGGTCTCGCCAAGTTGCCTGGGTTGATCTTGAACCCACAGTCTCAGGTAATCCACTCGCCTCGGCCTCCCAAAGTGCTGGGATCACAGACTGAGCCACTGAACCTGGCCCTTTTTCTCTTCTAATTCAATATTTCCATCTCAAAGAAACCTGACTTGATTACTTTATCTAAAACAGTCCTACCTGGCCACTCTCTATCCTCTTAGATTGCATTACCTTTCGTATTACTTACACTAAATATTATTAACCATTTACTTTACTTCTCTATTTTTTATTGTGGCAAAATATTCACAACATAAAATTTACCATTTTGCCTATTAATATTAAGGGTACAATTTAGTTGCATTAAGCACATTTACCCTGTTGTGCAACCATCATTGCTACCTGTCCCCATAAATTTCTCGTCATCCCAAGCTGAAACGCTCTACCCAACAAACAATAGCTCCTTGTCTTCCCTTTCCTCCAACCACTGGTAACTACTGTTCTACTTTCTGTCTCTGTAAACTTAATTATTCTAGGTACCTCATATATGTGGAATCATACAATAATCGTACATCCCTTTGTGCCTGGCTTATTTCATTTCATCTATGTTCCAGCATGTATCATATTTGTATTCCTTTTTAAGACTGAATAACATTCTGCCATATGCATATGACATTTTTTGGAAACTTCATCTTTAATAGCAAAAAAAAAATTTTAAATAACCCAGTTTTCCTTCAACATGTGAATGGACAAGCTGCAGTACATCTATACAATGGAAAACTCACAGGAAAAGTAAAAGGAATAGATTATTGATTTATCCAATTGCTTGAAGAAATCTGAAAAGTTGACAAAATGTAAATTATTTTTATACAGCATCCTTGAAATGACAAAAGTGCAATTATGGAGAAGAAACCAGTGGTTGGCAGAGTCACAGGCAGGATATAACTATAAAGATGTAGCACAGGGAAGTTTTACTGGGGGTAATGAAACAGTTCTGCATCTTGATTATGGTCATTGCACAAACCTATGATTGTGTGACTGTGATAAAGCTTCCTAAAACTAGACACCAAGAAAAAAATGCAGGTGAATAATAGTTACACCAAAATAGCATATGTGTCTTATTTTTGTATTGTTTCAATGTCAACATTCTAGTTTTGATAGTACTGTAGAATGTTAGAGCCTATCATTGGTGAATGATGGCTGAAGAATACAAGGAAACATTTTTTACTATTTTTTTCAACATCTATATAAGTCTAAAATTATTTCAAAAAGAAAAATTTTCCAAAAAGTCTCAAGGAGGTTGTGGGTGTTCCAAAGACTACCTATTCATGATGTCTTCAGAGCTTTGTTCAACTTTTACAATGTGAATAGTCAGTCCAATGGTTTGAAAGTGAGAAAAAATTAGAACAGGTTCTCAATCTTAATACTATTTAATCTGCCTGTGCTCATAGTGTGAAATGCCCATGGTGAGGCATGAGGCATGAATTGGATGATAACAAGACTTGTAAATTATGTTAAGGACTTTGGACAACCTATCGAAGGTCACTAGAGGAACTCCATCAGAGAGATGACCAGATGTGAGCTTTGTGAGGCTTGTTCTGATGAGAGTGTGGTTGAGAGCAGGACTGGAGAAAAGCAGACCTGCAAGAAAGCACTCACCATCATCTGTCTAAGCAGCATATAATGAGGCCTGGATTCGGGTAATGGCAGCTGGATCAAGAATGGCAGCTGTGTACACATTTGAGAAATATCCAGGAAGAAAATTGATTAAGCTTGGGAACTGGTGTGAGTAGTGAATGAGAAGCAGAAGTTTTGATAGGCACACAAGTATATTTAAGGGGCATTCAACTGAGATAGAAAACAAAGGCAAAACAGCAGCAATTGGTGGTTCAAGATAATGAGTAGTGTGTGGGTAAAGGCTTTGAATCACATTCCATTGGTCAATAGGAACAACCTAAAAGTGACAGAACAATAGTTTTATAAGACACAAGTTATTCAATTCTCGACTATAATTCTAATATAGCTGTCAGAAAAACTCCATGTCAGCTTGGGGTGCTGAGGGTGTCCACCATGAGAGGCTGCAGGGCCATGTGGTGGGGGTGTTGTGGAGGCCTCCAAACATCAGAAGGAATGTGGGTGAGATGCTCTTTCAGGTCTCCTCCAACTGGACTCCCTTGGCTTGCAGAGAGTCTGGCTTCCTTGTTTCCTGCTGACATATCCTTTGTGCCTGAAAAAAAAAAGACCCACGGTGGTACAAAGCCACATACCTAAAGAAAATGATGGATACTAGGAGATCTGGGTCCTTAAAAAGGCAGCAGGCAGCTTATTCCTCTCTCTTTCCTAGTCTATAGCAATTGAAGCCTCCTGTTCCAATGGCAGAAGGTGGAGTGAGGTAGCTGACTCCAGGTCACCATGGTGGTGCTAGCTTTGATCACAGTGCTTGCTTTTATTGTGTACTTAGTCCAAAGGTCAGGAAACTTCCCTCTAGACCCTGGCAATTCTTCAAACTGGGCTTGGAGGGAGGAGGCATCCAGATGGGAAGTCAATCCAACAGCTGTGCCACAGACTGGAGTGCTGCACAGCCATGAGCACCTTCCTACATTCCAGAGTCTCTAGTAGGCATTTCCTCCATGAGATACCTCTCTTCACACACACATCAGCCTGATTGCCCGCTCTGCACTCCATGCCACAAATAAGGTCACCATGTCCATTTGTTCTAGACTTTAAGCCCTTCCCAGCACTGCCTCTACTCTGGCACGAGATATCCACCTCATCCTATGAGGCTGCAGAGATAACTGACAACTGCCTCTCTGACCTGTAGGAGGACTGAATGGCCTCCTGCATCCCCTTCTTGTAGCCTGGGGTGGAATCCCACCTCTGCCACTTCCCAGCTGTGTGACCTTGGCCAAGTTTCACTGCCTTCATATTCTCAGCTCTCTCTTCCATGAAAGAGGGCACTGCTGCCAGACTTGGCTGTGGGGTGGCATGCCTTCGGCAGTCTGCATTCAGAGGGCATGGCATACAGCTCACCACGGCAGCCTGCCTAAGGCAGGGCCTTCATTCTCTCCCTGGTGACCATTCTGTAGCCCTTTTGCCTCGGGATGCAGTCTTTTGGGACAACTCTTCTGGGAGGCACCATTTGAGTTTGGAAACAGAAGGTTTGGGTTTGACTCATGACTATCAGTTGAG